TTGACTCCTTTGTCACATGTAGCTTTTAGATACCAAGTCCTGCCCATGTTAGTTCCAAGATATGCCTTGAGTCTGGACCTCTTTCCCATCTGTACCACCTCTGACCTGATTCAAGGACTTGTCATCTATTACCTGTATTATTTCAGTAGGCTCACAAGTTATTTCCCTGTTTCATGTCTTGATCCCTTCAGGTCTACTTTTTCAAGGCTGACAGGATGATTCAGCAAGCATGAGCATCTGACCTTGTCGCTTTTCTAGTTAAAAGTTTCTCATCATCTATAACAGATTCTCTCAAACCTCTGATCAGAATCCCAGGGGAAGGGTACTTCTTAATTTCTCTGTATATACCAGGCCTTGCCCCTATAGATTCTGATTCGGTACAACTGCTGGGCTGGAGCCTGTGTTTCAAAGTTTCCTGAGCTTTTGATACCTGACCAGATCGAGAAACCTCCAGCCTACCATGATCAGGTTTGAGTCCCTATGCCAGATGCACAAGACCCTCTATGACCAGGCTTTGGCTTAGCAGTTGCCACATTTCCCACCATGCGCTGGGCCACGTGTTACCCTCACATCCTAGCGGTAGTAAAGGATGCCTTCCCTTATTGTTGTGCCAGTTCATGTCTCCATGATTGTCCATGCTGTATACTTCATCTGAAATAAGTGTCTTTCTCTTTGTCTCAGCATTAGTGAGGTATCCTTTGTTTCCATGGCAGCTGTCAGTGCACAGTGATGTTTGCCAGTCTTTTCTGACTCTAGTCTTTCATTTTCTGTATCAGTTTATTAGTAAAGATTCATTGTGGAGTTCAACTTTAATATCACCTTAGAATATATGTAAATAAGCTTTTACTTTTCCCCCATAAGTGTCCTTTGTTTATTTAATTTTAAATGATGTAAGTATAATTTATCAACACATATATTTTTAAGTGACATGTTTGGTTTTAAAACCAAATGTATATTAAAATGTAGTTACAGTGTCAGAAATAGACCAAAAACAACTGCTTTCCAGTGGCCCAGAGTTTGGGATTTGTGCATTTTGCACGTGAAGCAAGCTGATTAGGTTTTCATAATTTTTGTGTTTGTAAATGACAAACTGGAAAGGTTTGTGGGTGCTGTTTGCAAGCAGTTCTCTGCAAGTAATTTATTTGGGATGTAGACTGTCTTGATTCTCAGTAAGTCAGAAGCCAAGTTGATAAATTGCTACTTCTTTTTTTTTTTTTGGTTTTTAGTTTTGCTATAGGGCCCATGAGCTCACCAGAAACAGATAAGAGAGAGAGGGAAGGTGAAAAATCAACCCCCAAGGGGGATGGCCATGTCACATTTGCCTCTTGGGATTTAGGGTACACACACACACAAAATCCAGAATTTAAAATCCACCCACCAAATCAGTATTCAAGTCGACCATGTAGGATCCAGCCGCCTTAACCACCACACCACCAACTGGCCCTTTTTGCTTTAGAATGTTGGCTTCTTAAATTTTTTAAAGAGTTTTTTTGCTTTAGGACATGTGTGCTTGCTGGAGAGAGAGAGAAAGAGAGAAAGTGAGAAATCACTCCCAAGGGAGGATGGCCACACTGCAGTCCCTTCTCCATCATTCTTCTTCTTCTTTTTCTTTTTTTTTGGGGGGGGGAGAGGTTTTTGCTATAGGGCGCGTGCGCTCGCCAGACAGACAGAAAGCAGGAAATCACCCCCCAGGGGGGGGGGTGGCCACGCCTCAATCCCTTCTCCTCCATTCTCCTCTCGAGATCTTGGGCACGCATGCACACGCGCCCAGCATGAGTTTAAGCCACTGGGTCTGGGACTTGAACCACGGTTGACTACATAGGAGTCCAGCGACATAGCCATTATGCTAACTGCTGGTCCCGTCCGTCATTCTTCTTTTGGGATTTTGGGCACGCATGCACGCACCTGTTGTGAGTTACAAGCCTCTGGGTCTGAGACTCAAACTGCAGTTGGCTATGTGGGAGTCCAGCAATGTAAATGTTATGCCATCTGCTGGTCCCATAATGTTGGCTTTTGAAATATTAGATTTATCTCAATGTTTCATATAAGAATTTTGATTAGATAAATGCAGTTTGGAGATCTGATGGACAGCATGATAGGACTTTGCAGAAATATCATTTAAGAGATGACAAACCTGAGTTCTATCTTGGTATAATGGGTGTAAATTACCCAAGTGATGACTGTGAATTTAAAATGTTACAGTGGTCAAAACCACCACCACCTAGCCTTGGTTGTGATGCTGATTATGCTGGCCTGAGTCATGAGCACATTCATCTGGTTTCCAGTAAAAGAAAGCATCTTCAGGGGCCAGCTGGTGACATAATGGTTAAGGCACTGGACTCCCACGTGGTCGAACACAGTTTGAGGCACGGTCCCGGTGGCTTGATCCACATGACTGAACACAGTTCGAGTCATGGTCCTGGTGGCTTGAAATTCATATTGGGTACATGTGCAAAAATCTCTCTCTCTCTAAAAAAGTATCTTTTTATAGTTATACTATTTATTGATTTGTTTCAAAAATCACGGTTGCCTCTACCAATTTAAACCTAATTCTTCAAACCCCAGAAGTTCACTAACTGATTGTAGCTCATGTGACTTGAAATTTAAATTCTGTGTGGCTCCAAATAAGTAGTCAACCTCTCTAAACTTTGTTCCTTAAAATGTAGATGATATTGTACCACCTCCCTCACAGGGTTGTTGTAGGTATTCAGTAGTACTTACCACAATCACTTAATAAGTGGTAGCTGTATTATTACTATATTTAGAAATAACCATCTGTTACCTGTCCATTTCCCCTTACATTGTAAGCTTCCGAAGTCCATGACTTTTTCATATTTGAATCTCCTGTACCTACCCTAGAGTTTAGAACGTGTTGTGATTCACGGTTTGCAGAATTTAATCAGCATAAATGCCCAACCGAAAGAAAAACAAATATGTCTAGCAGGGAAACACCAGAAAGGGAACTAAAAAGCAAAAGAGAAAATAAGAAGACTTGTTGGGATATTGAAGACAAGTTAATGAGCTGCCTTTTCTGCTCTCCTCTGCTTGGTCTTTGTCTGTGCTAGATAGGCCAGTTGGGCCTAGAACAGAGATTACCTACCTTCAGCATTTAATGGATTCAGCATCGACCAGTTCAACTTTTGTGATAAATTAAGTTGCACTGGGTGCTAAATTTTTATTAGTTTTTACTGCACTTTCTTTTGTGTTAGAGATGCCCATAAAGTGATGTGTAATATAAGGTTACAGTGGAGGGATGATATTTTTGATATTGTTTCAAATCTGGAGTCTGTTTTATTAAGGCATCATTTTTATTGTGTTTTATTTTCCAAATCTTACACATAACAGCACACTTATTTCCTTAACTATTTTCATAAAGCTTTAAAAAAGGTAATGTTTGGGGCCAGTCACATAGCCTAGGGGGTAAGCAAGTAAGATGACACATGGCCAACTGAGGATTGAATCTCAGCCCCAATAGCTAGAAAAACACTCCTAGCACTTATGCATGCATGCCCAAAACCCTGATAGGATGGAAAAATGTAGGAAAGGGGATTAAGGTGTGACCATGTCCCATGGGGAAGTTGTCCCCACCCCACCCCTGTGAGTGCACGTGCCCTCTGGTAAAAAAATTAAAAAAGTATATCCTCTGGGTCTCTACTACTAGAGATCATGTGTACATCTGTTGTAAGTCTCGTGTACCTTTGTTTTCTTTTTTTTTTTTTTTTAAAGAGAGATTTTTGCTGTAGAGTATGTGTGCTCACCAGAGAGACAGAGAGAGAAACTGAAAAATCACTCCCTGGGGGATGGACATGCTGCAGTCCCTTCTCCAGTCTCCTCTCAGGGTATTGGGCACTCACTCACATGCCTGGCGTGAGTTTGAAGCCACTGGGTCTAGGACTCGAATTGCAGTCAACTACCTGGGAATCCAGCAAAATAACTGTCATCTGCTGGTCCCAAAATGTGTAGTTTTAAGTTGAGTTGGAATTTCCATTGGCCATCTCACTGCAGGGCACCTTTATGACATGTTTTGATTACTTCTAAATGTGTTACTCTAATGGAAATAGATCAGATCAGATGGTACTTCAGAATAGTGACTGTGAAGTTGTACTTATTAAAAATACGTATTTCCTGATAGTACTACAGGACATTGTTTTTAGGTCTTCACTTCAAGTATAAAAAGAGTATCTTTAAAGTAAGATTGCTTTTACCTACAGCTTAGGAAAGACTCTGTGTGTGTGTGTGTGTGTGTGTGTGTGTGTGTGTGTGTGTGTGTGTGTATTTTTGTTGTTGTTAAAAGAGAGGTTTTGGCTATAGGGCTCATGTGCTCACCAGAGAGACACAGAGATAGAAAACGAGAAATTCCCCCAGGGGGAATGGCCCTTCTCCAGTCTCCTCTTAGGATTTTGGGCACGTATGCACACATGCCTGGCAAGAGTTTTAAGCTCCTGGGTTTGGGACTCAAACCATGGTCAACTATGTGGGAGTCTAGCAATGTAACCATTACACCATCTACTGATCCCAAGTATATTCTTTTGTTACTTACAATTTTCTAGGCTACCAGCAGTTTTCTCTGTGTATAGTATTTTTTGGTTTAATATCTGATTCTGGTTTGTTTTGTTTTTGTTTTTGCTATAGGGTGCATGTGCTCACTGGAGATGGTGGGATGGGGGATGGCCACATAGCAGTCCCTTCTCCATGCTTCTCTTGGGATTCTGGGCATGCATGCACATATGCCTGGCGTGCTTTTCAAGCCGCTGTGTCTGGGACTCAAAATGTGTAGTCGGGGATCTAGCCGCCTTAACCTTCACACCACCAGCTAACCCCTGACATGTATTTATTGAATCTTCTACTTGTCTAGGCAAAATCATCCAATTTATCATGTATCTAGTTAGACATTATATTTGTAAAAAGAACTTTAGAAAACAGCAACATTTTATGTAAATATTTGCTATTGCGAAAACAAAACAAAAAGTTTGCTATTCTGTGTGTTGTATTTCCCATAGTGGATGATGCTGGTAAAATAGAACATGATGGGTCCTCTGGAATGACTATGGATGCAGAATCAGAAATTGATCCTTGTAAAGTGGACGGCACGTGCCCAGAAGTCATCAAGGTGTACATTTTTAAGGCTGACCCTGGAGAGGATGACTTAGGTAAGAGGAAATATTTACTTCATTATGCATCCTGATCCAAATGTCTCAACCTGATTATTTCTGGGTTTGGAGTGAGAACATGTGAAATCTTTTCTGAAGGTAACTTTTTTTTTTTTTTTAAAGTTTGCTATGAGATGCGTCTTGCTTGCCACAGAGAGACAGAGTGAGAAAGCCCCCCCCCCCTCCGGAGAGGGTGACCACGCCACAGACCCTTCTCTTCTATTCTATTCTTGGGATTTTGGGCATGCATATATGCCCTGCATGTTTTTCAAGTAGGCTAGTCCAGGTCTTGAACCATGCTGTCGGCTGTTTGGGATCCAGCCACCTTAACCACCATGCTATCTGACTGGCTCTGAAAATAACTTGCAAATAATAATGCCAATGTAGCAATAGAAAAAAAAAAAAAACCATAAAAAGAAACAGGTAGAAATGAAGTTTTCAAATAATTTCTTAGAGCTGTCTTTTTCCCTGATGATAGGTGGAACTGTAGACATTGTGGAGAGTGAGCCTGAGAATGATCATGGAGTCGAACTACTTGATCAAAACAACAGTATTCGTGTTCCCAGAGAAAAGATGGTATACATGACTGTCAATGACTCTCAGCAAGAAGATGAAGATTTAAGTAAGTAGGTGGCCTTTTTGTGGGAGAAAATTTTATGTTTCTGTAGCTTTTTATTAGCTAACTAATTATTTATTTTAAATTTTATTTACTTATTCATGTATTTAGAAATTTTGACCAGAGAGAAAGACAGAAAAAGAGAGGGAGTGAGAAAGCAAGCCACCAGGTCTGGGACTTGAACCATGGTTGGCCATGTGGGAGTGTCCCACTCCTTAACCACCACATACCACCTGCTGGTCCCTCCATAGCCCTTTTTTTATTTTATTTTTTTAGTTTTGCTATAGGGCATGCGTGCTCACCAGAGAAAGAGAGAGAAAATAAGTGAGAAAGCACTGTCCGAGGGGATGGCTGTGCTACAATCTCCTTTCCTCTACCTTCCTTTTGTGATGTTAGGGACACATGCACATGTACCCAGTGTGTTTTACAAGCCGCCAGGTCTGGGTCTCAAGCCATGCAGTTGGCCATGTGAGATTTAGGTACCTTAAACACCATGCCACCTGCTGACTCCTGTAACTTAGTTTTTTTTTTTTTTTAATGGCCAATATTTGAAGGAAATAAGTGACATTAGTTTACAGATTATTTTGCCAAACTCCAAAGGAAACATCAGTAGCTCTTTCTATATGCTTAGAATGCTATTTTAAAAATAAATTATGATGAAAACCAAGAAATGAATGATTTATTCTACAAATATTTATTGAGTGCTTACTACGTGAGAGCTGTGTCCTAAGTATGTAATATTTGGACCTCTTTTCTATTTGTCAACTAATTCAATAAAAATATTTCCTGTGATATCTGTAAATGTGGTCACAAAAGCTTTTATAACTTTCTATTTAGATGTTGCTGAAATTGCTGATGAAGTTTATATGGAAGTGATCGTAGGAGAGGAGGATGCTGCTGCTGCAGCAGCAGCTGCGGCCCCCCATGAACAGCAGATGGATGACAATGAAATCAAAACCTTCATGCCCATTGCTTGGGCGGCAGCCTACGGTGAGTCACATGGCAACTTTTAGGATGTATTGAATTGGTTCTTAAACATGAATTCATGATTGAAAAATCGTTTCTGTGATCTTAGGTTTCTGAAATCTGAAATACCAGCACCCTATAAGGATTATTTAATTTAAACAAGAGTAGAGGAAGATTATAAAGTCTGCTTTTTGTCTTTATTTTTAACAGGAATTTCCTTCATGTGTATATTACGTAGAAGGAAGTACTGCAAGAAGTACACAGGCTTTCGAGCTGAAACTTTTCATCTTGGTTATATCTGGCCCTTGACTTTACAATTTTGGGAGACAACAAGGGAGTCCATGGGGCAAAATGCTGACATGTATATTTTAGCTTTGGAAGCTAGGCATTTCCTCCAGTCTTGCTAAAATAAATGTGCTCATAAAACCCATTACCTTAGCGTGGGGAACTTGTCATTCATGAGTATCATGGCTTACTTTTCGTTGTTGTAGTTAATAAAGGATTCCTAATTCTTTATAATTTATAATACTGTACAATTTTGTTTTTTAATGCGCATTGTTAGGTAATAATTCTGATGGAATTGAAAACCGGAATGGCACTGCAAGTGCCCTCTTGCACATAGATGAGTCTGCTGGCCTCGGCAGACTGGCTAAACAAAAACCAAAGAAAAGGAGAAGACCTGATTCCAGGCAGTACCAAACAGGTGAGGGTGCACGAGTTCCACGGTGCAGTGTGCTCTGCAGGCTCTCAGATGAAACTTTAGTATGTATCCACAGGGGTGGCGTGATGGCATTTTAGCTGCTAGACCACATGTAGCTTTTGTGTATTGAATTTGAAAATATAATTTTCAGAATTCAGTGATATTCATGAATGATTTCCTTGGATAAAAAGAAATAGGAAATGGATCAAACGTGGGTGAGAAAAATTCAAAGCTGGATGACTATGTGGAAGGGAACAGAAATCTCTCAAATTAAAAAAAAACATTAATTTCTTTTAAAAAATAAATTAATTGGGTTGTCGGAAAAGTCATGACATATTTTTCCGTATTTTTTGGCGCAAAAATGCGTCATAACTTTTTCAAAGACCCAATAATATATTTAAAGAATCTAATTATGTCAGCATAAAGCAGGCATAATTTACAGAACAGCAGGATAAGTACTTCAGTTCATATGCTATGTTCCTGTAAGCCAATTTGCATATTAAAATTTTATGGGAATATTTCATCTTCACTGTAAATTAACATAAATTATGGCATTTTTGAATAACGAAAGCACAAATTTTAATTTCAAAACTTTACTTTTATGAATAATTTCCTATCAATTTCTAATTTGATACAGCGTTAATCACTAGCTGGAAGGAATTACATATTTATTTACTAATTTTATTAAACTGGAGGGAGTGAGGTTGGTACAGTCCTACTGAATGAAGTTACTAGACCAGGCTCTCTTTATGAATAGACTGCTGTGTCTCATATGTTGAAAATGGTAAAAGGAGTGCAAATAGCCTAACTTAGGATTCCATGGCCAACAGTATTCAGAACACACTTCAGTTCTTCGAGAAAAAACAAAACAGAACTTGATTTGGCCACTCATACTCCTTTCTTTTCCTTCCTTAGCAATAATCATTGGCCCTGATGGACATCCCTTGACTGTCTATCCTTGCATGATTTGTGGGAAGAAGTTTAAGTCAAGAGGTTTTTTGAAAAGGCACATGAAAAACCATCCCGAGCACCTTACCAAGAAGAAGTACCACTGTACTGACTGTGATTACACTACTAACAAGAAGATAAGTTTACACAACCACCTAGAGAGTCACAAGCTGACCAGTAAGGCAGAGAAGGCCATTGAATGTGACGAGTGTGGGAAGCATTTCTCTCATGCTGGGG